GACGCGTCAGGAAGGGATGCTGCGAAATGTGATAGCAATTTATTGATTATCCCCGGTAACGGTGCTGTGGATTACGTCCAGGAGTTAGATAGAATCAGTAGGCTTGCGTATCTATGAAGTGCAGGAGTAAAATATTTGTTCACGTTTGAGCAAGACCAAACGATACAGAGCCACGTGGACATCTTCCATGAAAGGATTATAAACCGCTTGATAGGATACCGACGGCTAAACTGAACATGAAACAATGCGAATATCGATACGGTGGGACTTTTAGTAAGGTAATGTTTTTCCTTTGGATGCGATCAACGAGAAAATCGATTTTCAATTTCCGGAAAGATTGCATTGCTTCGGAGGAAAAACCGAAAAACTGAGTTTCGAAAGACCTTAAGGACACGGGTCTAGAGAGACACAGTGTTTCAAACTTAGGGATTGCTGATTGTGATACAATCTAGCCAGGGACATCCCCAGTAAACATATTTGGGAGCATGAAAAAGAAGCGATTGATAAAAATGTTGACCAGGTATAAAGCTGTAGATATAGAACAAAAATCCATGAATATTCAGTCATGCATACTGAGAACCACATTCGACGCATGGAGGGCAATAGATTTTCAAAAGGTGCAGTTTGTATGTTCACCACAGGTGCGACCGATCAGGTTATCATTGATTATCTATCGCACACATACCGAACATAGTGAGTGCATAGGTACATCAATCAAGCATGGATGAAGTGATATCCATAGAACGATAAACAACGTGTGAATGTGCTGCCTTTGTCACATGAAACCAGTGGGCAACGAACACAGAGATAAAAAAGATACAAGTTGTAACATTCGTGACATCTGAGCAATGCTTTACAGAAAGAACGTCGACTACTCAGGAAACATTTTCCCTCAAAAATTAAAGTATACTATGAGTTGAGCTCGGAAATACCGGTCAATAAATGTGAAAACAGGAGTTGTTTGAAAAAAGCAGATTAACAGAAAGGTGCGACGAAAGTCGGTTGACACCTCAGTGATTGTACCTTGCAGAGTTCACGAGCGTTTTGAGCAACAAAGATTATACTTAGGGGTTGGACAATCCAACACGAAAGTACCGGAGAGTTTAAATAAGGATATGATGCTGCAGTTGAAACGAGAAAGAGTTGGGGAGTGTTGTGACCTCATGGTTACGCATACAACATTTTTTTAAAATTTCCAAGCCATAGTGCGTAGGGCCCCTCAGTATTCTGCATTTTTCGCTTCCGAGTTCTCCAATCAAATCTTGTCGGATGAGAAGGACTGATTGCGAGATGTGGTAACTCAAACTAAATTTAGATAGTTACTACGTATGATGAGTAACATGGAGTAGGAAATGCAAACAAGGGACAACAATACTGTAGGACCCACTATGCCATTATGCTAGTGCTCGTTCACATTAACAATGCTGGGGCCAACGAGTTTGAGACTGAGCTGATTAGTGTTCGGTGCGTGAATCTGGTGACTGGAGAATATTTGCGAACTGGATACACTTAACTAATGTGTATTGCAGCACGTGATGCACCATAGCCGTCGAGCCTCTCTGGGAAACATTTGATGTTGGTGTCACTTATGTATCTGATCGAACTGAGAGCGACTTTTGCCTGCACAATGCCACACGAAAAGGAACTAACGGATTTTGACCAGGGCAAAAAATATAACTAATGGGATTCTGAATGAAACTGTCAACCAATGCAACAGATCGAGAAATGCGGTTTAACGGTATTTTGAATGCGAAGAACCAGAGTAATAGAACCAAACCACAATTGGATTCGGTTGACAAGGGTTGAATGAAAGTTCAATAACCTTGAAAACCGGTCAGCGAAAACTGTATGGGGGAGAGTAAAAGAGAATGAAGTTATCACACAAATGGATAGTTTGACACTGGATAACAATCTATTGCCGCGCCATTTGGCCCTTCCACATATTGATGGGGTTGTTTTCAATTCAGCAAGCCTTATCCAAAAAGGTTGTCGAGCACGCGGGAGATGGAACCAACAACAGATGTTCAATCAAAAATTACAGTATTGTGGAAAACAAAGGAATAAATGCTCATTTTAGACTCATACACCTTTGCGAAAACGTCTAAAACACAATTTGCTTCTAATTTGTGTCGGAATGAAGGCGATATGATAAAATTAATCTGATTCACACGCACTCACACCCACTTACTAGCATCATTCATGTAGGTCGGATGACGAGCAAGGAAATCCCGCCTACGTTGCACATTGCTAGCCAATAGCTGTTTTGCACGCTGTTTGAACGCTGCATCGGGCACATCCGCTGCATGAGCGAACATTGCCATATACTCCAGTGGAAGTCGTAAACACATTAGACCTTGGCTCAATTTGGTCAGAAAATGTGAACGGATGAAGGGACATGGATCCTGGATGAAGGAAGAATGATGATAAACAAGAAAAATAACTTACCAGTGATCATTGTACAAAATCGGGGGATTTCTACGTAATTTTTCAAAACGATCCGGGTGTTGCGTTAAAATAATCAAACTTACAAATCACCCCGAAATAAATTGTCTAACTGAGACGAAAATAATGGCACAAAAAATTACAGGCAATAAAATGTCTATTTTTAGCAAAACAAGCAGCATTTATCTTATCAACAGGTGGCATTTCTATCGTTTCCGGAAAATACTTCACTGAATATTCATAATTTTGACCAATGGATTTATAAATTTGACAAACATATCATGTCAAGGTTTGATGAAAACACTCCTTAATTTAACAGCCTTTCGCAATCTATTGAAACATATGACAATATTATAACGTGATTGGTATTGAAATTCCGTTACAAGATAAGATGGTTACTTACGTTCCTTCACATTGCACCTCACACGTTTACAGCCCAGGTTTCATGCGATGGTTTGCTATAAGCGCTGCAAGCATTCGTTATCAAGACCTTAAACCATCTTAATTTAAACGGTAAGCAAGTGTAAGGACGGATGCTGAAAAGTGCAAGATTCGTAACACGATAGACCCAATGTAAAGGTTTTCGCTTCATACGCCCTAAGAAAAAATAGCGTTCTCCGTAATTGACAACACTTTCGTTCAATCCCAAGATTGGTCTTCAGCGCCTCGATGAGACTTGATTCACCATCTCGATTTGATTTTATCCAACGAAGTTCAGATGAATCCTCCGCCTAATTGTATGTGCAAGATAACTCAGGCACTTCGAAAAACTTTACAATGATAGTTGCGGGTTCTGAAATTTTATGTTACTTATTAAAATGGCGTGCATAGCATATCAACTTATGTGGATTATCCTATCGGGGGGTTTACATCGCTAAAAACTACTCTTATTTCTCCATTCAGGTAATTCGGTCCGATAAACCAATGCGATCTTAGCTACACATGATCGTGGGGTAATCAGACCTCGTCTTTATCTTCTATACCGGATTCGGGGCGGTCTAAACAGGTACGATTTTCGAGTTTAATTTTTTTCCTAATATCATACTTTTGCACCATTTTTGGATCTTCTGCTTAGTCAAACCACTGAATTTTCTCATTTTTTGCAACCGTTCTCGGGGTCTTTACGACCAGGGACGAGAACAGTATATAATCCAGCGAGGTGACGCTGTGAATATGATTACATTTTTACGTTATGCACACGTTTGTTGCTTGCAGCCTGTTCCCAGTTGAGAGAAGGCCCCCAATCCTGTTCTGGGATCTTCATTTTGGGGTTAGACAACTGCCGCGAGGTATGTGCTTCGTAGAGTTCGGACCTCCCTCGTATCTGTGCGTATTCTCTCGCTCTGTGATGACCTACACGCAGTCCATGGATGTCCAGTCTGTGTTCCCATCGACCATTGATGTGTATGCCACCTGTGTTGGATTTCAGGCTTCATCCGTCGAGGCTGCATCATTTGTTGTGCTCTGTGAATGTTACTGTGCCTCACAACAAATGCTTTCGCCAGAACCCCATCCAACTCATTCTTTAATCCCAGGAAATGCAAATCAGTCTTCTTTTAGCCATCTCGGATAGATAGATAGTTTCATTTTGATTGCAAGACGTCACACCAGTTCATCCCCAAATACTAACAACCGCATGCACTCATATATATATATATATATTTTACAAAAATGGTCACTCCAAGGGCAAAATAAGCCTGTACACGGCGATCGCGGTGCAATACTGCTGACATCTAACGTGGACCCCACCAGGCAATGTCCGTTTGCTCACGTCCTATCTGCCTCCACGGAATGAGCTCGAAAGGTCTTATTGGAATTTTGCATTTCCTCCAGCACAACAACTTCGACACAACGGAGACCGCTCTCCTCACTTCGAAGAAATGTGAAATTAGGGATGAATGGTTGCGTGAATATACTCGAAACTATGGGTGGTTCTAACAAAATTTTGCGTACTATCAATTATTGCGTAATTATAAATTAGTCAGTGGTTTTGTTCACAGTAAACTTGCGTTCACTTGAAGATTCACTTTTGCAATTTCATCTGCTTATGGATTACGAAGTTTTGAACTGGATGGATGTGGAGGGGCTGGGAATTCTCAATCCATCTTAGTGCACTTTGAAGAGCGGTGGGGGTGGAGTTTATTGGTCCTGTGTATATGGGAGTAAAATGACTCAGGTCACAGAACAAACAAATTCCATACGTTCGAATCAGACAATCAGTCCAGACATTCAAGGTCACTGAGGCCAGATACGGAACGCATTTGTGTCGTGATGACTGTGGGTTAAGGAAGTGACACAGGAGTACAAGAACTGTGCGTGAGATATTGATTTTACTCTACGCGAGCGCATCGTTATTCACTTTTGTTGTATACATTTGTGCAGACATGTACAGAAAAAGCAGGGAATCAGAATTTTGTTTCGATGACGTGAACGCAGTGGGAAATAAGCCCCAAAAAGATGACGTTGCAGGTAATCCGGGGAAAGTTGTAGATGGACGAAATTCATTCGGAGGGTCAGAGGAAACATAACTAACAAAGGTTAGTCTAATACGAAGGAGAAATGGCAAGTGCGAGTAAGAGTGAAAGATGGTTAGAGATCAGTGGCGAAAAATGAGTCATCAAATTAAATGGAAACAAATAAAGTGATGGAAACTCACACAAATAACGTAGGTCATTGATTGATACCAATCGACTTCTATGTCCTCAGCATAGCTCTGAGAGTGAGCCAATTTAAGCCATGCAGTAGCAGCGGCGAGACGCATTCGCGACATTTCTCCAGGACTTGATAGGAGACCGAAAAAAGATAAATAGAGTAATGGACAATAATAATAACGTTAGTACTCACACAAAAGCACCACAAAACGATATCCGAAAAGGAGTGTGTAGGGAGACAGAGGAAATGCATTCCAATGTTGCAGGAGATGAAGCCACATCATGATACCAACTGCTAGGTGCACTTTTCAGATTTCTCTTAGCTTTATTTTTCTGATTCCATTATTTATTGCTTAGCAATGATACCGCTGTAAATTGCCTTAGTGCAAACCTCATATTGCTTTGCATGCAGATGCTGGCTCATGTCGGTCCTTATTTTGTTCACTAGAGTGACTTCAACTGTCGGAGAAGTCCCTTTTTCATGCGTAGAACCGTTTCAGAAAGGATGAACGGTGGTAAAAATGAGAATGTAAGGTCAAAAGCTCATTAAATGTGGGGAGATGACAAGAATAGGGGAAGTCAATAAGATAAAGAACAGCTAGTTTGTGTAGTACGTGGTGGCGGCACTGTGGACGGCCTTTCTGTCGTCTCGTTCAAAACCACACCTAAACCAGCGGAGTCTTATGTGGTTCAATGGTCCAAGTCCCGGATCTTGGGTTACTGGTTTCCATTACTGAACAGCAGGTTCTCAATGCTGTGTGCGATAAACAAGTGCTCAGTTCAGTTCAGTTTTTATAACCAGTAACCATGCCCTTTCGTACACCGGTTTTGGTTGCTGTCTTTTGAAACCCCATTT